TGATTTAAAAAACAGGAAGATTTTTTTTCCAGGGTTTTGGTAAAAAAATCTCTGCCTGTGATGGGATTTAACCACGCTCAGAGTTCCCAGGTTGGTGCTTTTTTCCCGTTTTTTGGCACTGAACCTCCTGGATCAGCTGTGCCACAAAAACCAAAAAAAAAAGCAGGGATGCATCCCAAGTGTGGAAAAGCTGCATTCCCATCACTGGGACTGACTCCTGCCTGCTGGCAGCCAAAAAACACTGCATTAATTTCTTTTAGGAGCACACAAAACATTTCTATTTCCCTGTTACAAAACAGGAGTTCAGCATTTGTAAACAAAGCTGCAGAACCTCCAGTACCCCCCTGGATTTGGAATTTTCCTCCAGTTAAATATTTGGTCCTGCTGCAGGGCCTGGGGATTGATTTCTTTTCTATTTCCCTCTTTCAGAGGGAAAAATGAACAAGAATTTGAGTGTGCTCTGAAGTCCAGGCTCAGGGCAGCCCCTCTGGATCCTGAATGCCAAATTCCAAGGAAGATCTGAGCAGCTTGGAGGGCAAAATTAAAAACTAAAATTAAAATTAAAATTTAAGATGAAACCCAAAATTAAAATAAAATGAAATTAAAAAGAAACATTTTGTTTGAACAATTCCAGGACACTGCTTTGGTTTTAAACTCAGATTATTAAACCCAAGTGTGCATTTGCACAATTCTGGGAGGTGCTGCCTCCTTTGGCTGCTTTGAACATCAGATTCCCCCCTTTTCCCCCTTTTTGAGAGAGTTTTTATCAATCCAAGCCCAAGCTGCACTCTCAGAGGATGCAGTGACACATTAAATGTCTGCTTACATATATTTTGAGCAACATTTCCAAGCTAATGGAATATTCATTTTCCCAGGGGCATTTCAGAAGCTTTCCAGCAGAGACAGAGAATTTCAGCTGCTCTCTGTCCCCACAAAGTTACACCAGGTAAACACGAGGTAATTTCCACCACAACAGCCACATTTCCATCAGAATCACTTTTGAGGGAATAAAAAATCAACTTACTGGACAAAGCAGAGACACTCTTAGGCTGGTTGTTGCTATTTCACTGTCTGGATCAGCAGTTAGCTTCTCTTTAACTGGTATTTGAAAGAAGAAAAGGTTTATTTTAGGTTAATTCAAACATGAATTGGATGATAAAGAAATAAAATAAATCTGAAATGGCAGAGTAAAACTTTGAATTCAAGACCCCTAAAAATGTGTTTATCCAGAGATGTCTTCATTCCTTTGCATGCAGCTTTGCACCTGACCATTATTTAATATTTAATATCACATTAATTTCACTTCCAACTTCAAGCTAAACTTGTTAACAACTCTCACATGGAGAGGCACCACTGTAACCCCCAAATCCTCATCAAGTGATTTCAAACTGAAAAGCAAATTGAGCAACAGGCAGTCAGCAGCACCCTGACAAAATCTGAGATTTACATAACTGCAGTGAAACACTGAAGTCTTTAATTCCTGGAGTTTTTCATCCTCTATTTTTATTTACAAGGGCTGTTTCATGAGCAGCCATTGGTAAAATGAACAACTCAGAGTCATTTTATTCCTGCTTTAAGGACTGGACCTACACCTTCATCCTCACCCTGCAGAGCAGCTGCCACCTGGAACTTTGTAGATTTTTGTGCATTTTGTGCATAAATCATCAAACTGCATTAGGACAAATGAATGCCCAGCATTATGATTTAGTGCTGGACTCATTTCTTCCCCTCTGGAGAAGGTACAGCACCTGATGTGAGCATTAATTAAAGAGTAATTTTATATGGATCAGGTGTTTCCCGCTCTTCCCAAAAACCAAACCCATAGCAGTTTTTACTGCTTTTATGCCACAAACTTGCACCAATTTGTTGTCAAAGGAAACAAAAAGGCAGCAAATTCACTCTGCAGTGAGGAAGGGCTCTGTGCTGGGCTCAGCCCACAGCTCTGAGAACAGAAACNAATTATTATATATATAAATAAATATATATAAATATATATTTAAATATATTTGACCCAGGAAGCTGAAGAATGCATCCTGCCATATTCCTGTAACAAAATGCACTCAGCACCTGTAAATAGCAGTGTCCTGGATGGATCAAAACTAGAATTATTATACATTATTCCATGTATTATATGGACCAAAACCAGAATTATCCTTCATTATCATGAAAGCATCATTACACAGAAAGGAAAGCAGACAGCAAAAGGAATTTCACTTTAATCTGAAATAAAAATCACCTCACAAAACCCCAGCAGTTGCTCAAATGTTCTTGCTTTTTTTGTCTTTTCTTGTTTTGTGTCCCTGCTCTGTGCACAGAGCTCAGCATCCCTGAATGTGAACCCAGACCCACCCACTAAAGCAGCACAGAATGGGAAAAATAGAAAACCCAAACCTGAATTTTCTAAATCAGGAGATGTGTTCCCACTGAGGAGTGTGGAGTTGTGTTTATTTGGCTGAAACACCCCCAAGGCTGCACCTGAGCAGCTCTGGCAGGGAATGGGATTTTGGGGACGTGGCTCAATCCAGCTGATGCTGAGCAGTACGAGGAGGGAGCCACAGGATGGCACCAGAATATCCCCAAACCCAAACCCAAACCCAAACCAAGCTCCTCTCACAGGCCACCACTTCCTGCAGCCTGATGGTCAGGGCTTGGTTCTATTCCTTGAACTGAAACCTCGTTTATTTTCTGGCTCTCAGTCACTGTCACCCTGTCCCCAGGGATGGGAGGGGACACGGAATTCCCTGGGATACAGAATTCCCACAGGAGATGCTCTGGTGCAGGTGTTTGGCACCTCCTCCCCCAAATCCATGACCAAGCATGCTATTCCCATCCCAAAATCACATTATTCCCATGCAAAATCACATTATTCCCATCCCAAAAATCACATTATTCCCATCCCAAACCCCACATTATTCCCATCCCAAAAATCACATTATTCCCACCCCAAAATCATATTATTCCCATCCCAAAAATCACATTATTCCCATCCCAAAATCACATTATTCCCATCCCAAAATC